TGTCATACTGCTCTAACAGGAAGCTTTTCTTGATTTAAATGTGACTTCCTGTAACTTAATCCCATTACATATTACATATCATCTTTATCATATCTCTCCTTGGTCATATTTTCTCAAGGCTAAATATGCCCAGTTCTTTCAGTCTTTCCTCATAAGGCTTAGTTTCCAGTCCCCCAATCATCTTTGTTGCCCTCCTCTAAACTGTTGCAGTTTGTTGGCATCCTTCTTAAATTGTGGTGTCTAGAAGTGGACACAGTACTCTAGATGAGGCCTAGGTAAAAGTAAAGGTAAAGATTCACCTTGACATTTATTCCAGCCGTGTCTGACTCTAGGAGGCAGTGCTCATCCCTGTTTCCAAGCTGTAGAGCCAGCGTTTGTCCATGCAGGCCTCTAGTTCTTACTGCATTGTTTTCAAGATGCTTGCAGAGTAACTACTGTATAATCTGCTCCAGAATTTTCTCAGGGATTGATGTCAGTCTGACTGGTCTGTAGTTCCCAGGTTCCTCTGTGTTTTCTTTTTGTTTGTTTGTTCTGTTTTGTTTTTGTTTTTATTTTTTGCTGTTTTTGAAGATTGGGACAACATTAGCCCTCCTCCAGTCATCTGGCAGTTCACCCATCCTCCATGATTTCAAGAGGATAACAGAGGTTTGTTTTTTACCCCATTTGTATTAATGCAGATGGTATCAATGAGACAACAAAGCTCACCTTTATTTTGTGCAGGAGTATATCTGACATGTACTGTGACTTCACCTCATTTTCTATTCTTTCTGTTCTTTTGTAACAACTTATATCCTCCAGTTGCTTTATTCCAGTCATGGGAGTCATTCTGCCAAGTTCCAATAATCCCTATCAAATATTTACTCTCCTGAACTTAGATTTCTAGTTCTTTTGGTTTGTTTCCCATACTCCTGGCATTTGTGTATCGACACTTGATACTGTATGATGTGTGGCCTGTTTTCCTTTGTACATTTTTATGAAGATTGGAGGTGCCCAACCTGGGGTTTCCCTTGTTGTTGTCTTACAGTTGCCACACCATATTCCTTCTGGTTTGTCTAGTACAGGCAAGCAAGAGAATGCTTACAGAACTTAAACAGGTGATATTCTCTTAAAGTTCAATCCTCTTTGTTGCCTAAGTCCTTGTTCGTGCTGCAGTTCTGTTTGGGTTTTATGATGCGTTAATGCTTCCATCCTGCTCCTCTGTATTGCAGGCTGCCACTCCCTTCTTCCCCATAGCCATTCTGTCCATTGCCTCCTAGGCTGCAGCATCCTGCCTCCATGTTCCACTGTCATTTCCCTGTTCCCTTTTCAATTACAGTTAGCACCTCACTAGATATCGTGCTTACTGTTTGCCATGGTACTTGTGGTGTACCATCCCACTTGCGTTGTGTGTGTCACTGCTGGATTCTGAGTAGGAACAATACTTCTTTTAGGGTGGCTTAGTTTGGCTTGTTGGTTTCCTAGCATAAGTCCCATTTCCAGTAAGTTTGTAACTCTACATAGAACTACACAAATAACATTAAAAAGGTGTATATTTCCTGCTAAGTTCTTCAGTGGGTATCTGTACAATAATGCAGTACACATTCTGACCCCATTTCAAGCCCATTTCAAGCCTGCAGACATCATAAGTAGATTCCCTCTGGGTTGATTGGATACTTGGATCCACGCAAGAGTACAACTTAAGCATATTTCCTCAAAAATTTCATCAAGTTCAATTAACCCTGCTTCAGCATATGGCACCTTGCAGCATTGAAAGGGAAGAGGATTTAATGGATGCTTAAATGCAGTAGGATTGTATTGATATATTAAAAAAGTAGCCAACTGTTTCCAAACATGAAGGGCAGAATATTTACTCACGTCAGAAGACAACAAAAATGCCTGAGCTAGTCCTATAAATAAGACAGAAAACAGCAACAGACTTACACAAAATGACCCATTTAGCCCTTTCCAACTCTCTGTGTGGCATATTGCCCATGAGAACAAGTGCACTTGGTACTGATGAATTGATGTGTAAGGCTTCCTCTTCTTTCTGTGGCACCATGAATTTCCATGAAATCTGAAGTGTTGAAAGACAGATTTATAATGTCACTCTTTAACCAAGAGTATACTGTGAAGTTTTCCCATAACAGTTTTCCCATAAAACCAGAAAAATATTGCTCACTGTAGTTTAAATTTGTGGCTGAAATCACTCTACTGTTAATTACTGTTGCGTTTCTGATTTATTTCTGATATCACTATGCTTCATTTAGTAGAAGAGCAAGATAGAACTATTTTTATTATTATGATTTAGGAGGAAAAAAATGCAGTTTGCCCTGTGTGGCAATAGAATTAATGTATTTTGCTCATCACCTGTGGAAAATAGATCCATTGATATAAAGGATCTATCCTATTATGTAGCTTCATAACTATCATCAGTAGCATCGGAACTTTCTTCCCTTCAGCGTTTGGCTGCAACCCCCCAGTGGCTGGAACTATACACCTTTGCAATAATTCAGAATAAAGGTATTTACTGTGGGTTAGCTGCAAAAAGGCATAAACCCAATTGCAACTCATACACTGTTTTTATATGTAGTAATGTGAGGATAAAGAAAGTTGACACTGAAGCTGCTTTCTCCATCCTCTTTCCATAGCAGTGGTGGCAGATGGGAGTTTTACTTGTATCATGTTCATTCAAAAATAAGGAAATTCTGCCAGATCCCCAAGACTTCTTTTTCTTTCTTTCTTTTAGTTCCTCCGTACTTGCCAGCGATAATCGGCGATGTGACAGCCAGGGGCAAAAACTGTGACCTAGTCATCTTTTTGCAGACTTCTCCATTTCTACTTGCTGCTGTCTGATGGGACTCCCTCTGCTCCTCTGTCTCCCATGCCTTGTAAAAGCCAGAGTAGAAAAATGTGGATTGGGCACCATTTCTAAACTGCAGTAGGGCTTGCATCATGTGCAGCTATAAGAGTGACTGCAGATTCCACCTGGTTTTTCTAGAGTGTATAGCCTCAGCCCATGATATCAGAACCCCTTGGCAGCTCCCCAGAGTAAGTTTTCAGAGTGCACTGAGTATGGCAGTACTTAAGGGCTGCGAGAGAGAAGTAATTGCCAATTTTACTGAAGTGGTAGGTTGTACATTATCCATTTATGACCATTTTTTTCCCTTATAGCAACTGCATCTGGTTATGTTTTCCCTCCTCTTGCAAAACAGCTCACAATATTCTTGTGGTAGATCTTTGAGTCAAAAAGAGGTACTATTAATTATTTCCTAACAGTCTGTGTCATAGAGTCATAGAATTGTATAGCTGGAAAGGAACCTAAGGATAACTTAATCCAGTCCGTGACAAAGCAGGAAATACACAGATGAAACCTCATTTACAGATGCCATCCAGCCTTTTCAAAAAACCTTCTGTAAAGGAGAGCCTACCTTCTTCCAAGATGGCAATTCAATTATAGGCGCACTCTTATTGTCAGAAAAAAATCCCTGATGTTTAGTCAAAATCTCTTTTCTGGTTGTTTGAATCCAGTACTTTGGGTCCTTGCCATCTGGAATGGCAAGAAACAAGCTTGCTTCATTTTCCATGTGACAGCCCTTCAGATATAGATGACTGTTCTATAACCTCTGTAAATATTTATATTTTATTATATCTACGGCCTCCACCCCTGTTGAGTGAGGGATTTTCTATATGCACATGTATGGCCTCCTTAGACCAAGAAGATAGGTGGTTTGAGAGAGGAGTCAGTGAGGTCATACTTGTGCATAAAGAAAATCTTTCCCTCATTAGGGGTGGAGGCCTTAGATACAATCTGTCTCCTATATATCATGCTTCCTTTTCATCCATCCCCAGAAAGATTAGGACCACGTACACCAGAAAGACCACTGTTAATGACTGTTAATGACCCATGACAATGGGTGGAGAAGGACTGCAGAAGTGGGATTTTCATTTACTCCCAGTCCTTTGTCCATCTAAGGAGCCTATTCAGAGGAAGTGAAACCAATGTATATACAGTGGTGCCTCGCTTAGCGATTGCTCCGTTGAGCGATGAAATCGCTTAGCGATGGGGTTTTGGTCATCGCCAGAGTGATCGCTTAGCGATGGCCCCTATGGGGAAAAATCGCTTTGCGATGATTGCGGGAAAGCGATCATGGCAAAGCGACCCTTTTTGCACAGCTGATCAGCGGTTCCAAAATGGCCGCCGGAAAAACAAAATGGCCACCCACTGTTTTGCCTCGCTTTAGAGGCACCAAAAATGGCCACCCCTATGGAGGATCTTCGCATAAGGTCAGTTTTTAAGCCCATAGGAACACATTAAACACGTTTTAATACGTTTCTATGGGCTTTTTAAAATTGCTTAGCAATTAAATCGCTTAGCAATGTTTTTCCTGGAATGGATTAACGTCGCTAAGCGAGGCACCACTGTATCAGGGATCTCCTACCAACTCTCCTCAGACTGAAGAAGCTACTTGGATGAGTAGCAAAACATTTCAACCTAATAAGAAAGAAGTCTAGTTGCAATGTCTCAACTTCCAGATAAGCTTCACTATATGTATTGGGGCTAGCTTAATATGCTGGTTCAGAAAACCGGCCACCAGGTAATAAATTGAGCACATCAGTGGCATGAAATATATTTTGGTCCATGTCAATGGAGAGATTACCCAATTACATTTCAGTGTGGGGTGCTGTTATTTAAAAAAGAAAAATTATGGGAAAGAATATAATTTATTGCTGTATATGTTTAATATAATGATTGTGCTTCAGAGTCATATATCACTCTGTTAGATACAAATGAACATTTAATCTTTCTTAGTTATATGTAGAAGATTATGTCCTTCAGTCATTATCCTGAATTTACAACAAATAATAAAATAATGAAAATGTAAATATAAAGGATTTACAGTAAGCTGTGGTAAGCAGAGCACAGGGATACCAGGTTTGAAATAAAATTCATATATTGTAGGCTGAAAGCAGACACAGAGTCCCTGGAGAGATTCATGAATGTGCTCTTTTTTCCTTTTTAGTTGCAGCCAGAACAGTTGGACTGTGGTGCAGCACATCTCCAGCATCCTCTGTCTATCCTGCAACCTATCAAGGCAAGGCCAGTATTTACCTCGCCAGGCCTCACATCTGTGGCCGTCTCCAGTATCAATAATTACACCGTTGTATTTCTGGGAACAGCCAATGGAAGATTGCTGAAGGTATGAGTAGTAGGATACTAATCGGTTATTGAAGCATGTAAATAATAATAATGATTGTTTTTTCCCCACTGTGTATCCCCTTGCAATAAGTAGCAACACTGACATAATTTGGAAACTGTTAAAAAAGGTTTGCCATTATATAATTATCGTACATTTTTGTCTTTCTGTAGTTTTGTATTTTATCGACAGAATCTGTCTGGCACAATTCCTGAATGGGGAGCTCTATATTCCAGAAGGAGCTGTTTTGATTGTAACCCTTGAGTCCTCATCCCATGCCAGGTTCGATATAGGGGGTTATTTTATTATTCAGTTGTGACTCAAGCTTCCCAATTGTGGTGTTGCTGAGTAGCTGTCTTCCCAAAACACACACAATGGTGGCCTAATGCACAGGATCTCATCTGCGAAATCTGGGTAGGGAGAAGCTGTGCATTCCCGAGTCCTTACAATCATTTCAAAGAGGTCATAAACTCTTTTCTTAAGGGCACACAACTGGGTGCATAGGTTTTAGCATCCTCCAGGAGCAGAAATCAACCCTGAGTGCTCACTGGAAGGACAGATCCTGAAGCTGAGGCTCCAGTACTTTGGCCATCTCATGAGAAGAAAAGCCTCCCTGAAAAAGACGCTGATGTTGGGAAAGTGTGAAGGCAAGAGGAGAAGGGGATGACAGAAGATGAGATGGTTGGACAGTGTCATCAAAGCAACCAACATGAATTTGACCCAACTCCGGGAGGCAGTGGAAGACAGGAGGGCCTGGCGTGCTCTGGTTCATGGGATCACAAAGAGTTGGACACGACTTAACAACTAAACAACAAGGAGCAGAATAAGGTTCCAATAGGTGCACCAGAAAAGATGCAGCAATCAGTGTGTGTCCTTAAAAAAAGAATCTCCAGCAAGTGGCTCTTCAGCTCTGAGCCAGTGAGGGCTGCAAAGCCAGGTGTGATTCAAAGCAGAAAGCTTTCAGCTAATAGCACAACAATCCTTTATTTCAGCTCAATTTCCTCTGTTCTTAACAGCACCTATATTTTTATTCCCTTCAACCATGTGACCCCTGTGTTCTAGAGGTTACTTCAGTTGTGCTGAACCCAGCCATACTCTTGCAGGGCAAGGATGCTGACACAAGTGAACTAACTCAGCATGCTCTTTAACTTATCCAAGCAGTTACAATAAAACACTATAGCTCTGTGCAATATAGGCATATGAGAGCATGGTATGCTGGGTTCAAACACTAGGTTCTTCCTGCACTTTCTATTCCTACCACTTGGTGGGGTGTATCCTTTTCTCTATAGCTTTACATAATGGTTCATCTCCGTGTCATTAGATATTGAACTGCTGAAATACTGTTGCTGACGTTTCTTTTGGCATTTATTTTCTTTCTGATCCCAAATTACATGTATTGTATGTTTATCAGACATTATACATAACATATCTAATGCATTTAAGTAGGTTGTGGTACATAAAATCTCATGCTGTCATATATTTATAGTTTTTGCCACAGAACATTAGGAAATGCTATAGGGCAGTCCCATTCTTTGTTGTTTGAATTACTAAAAGTGTGTTTTTTCAGAGCAAATATAAAAAGGCCTGAACGTTTCTGGTTGCTAAAGTTCTCTCAGTGCTTCTCATAAAATTAAAATTGCTAATTCGTGCACTTTGACTAATAACATTTTGTAGAACTGTGTTTTTTTCTGAACCACAAAATCCCTAGGCACTTTCTTAGTATGTACAATAATATTTGATTAACTGAACATTTCTGCTAAAAGTTTCAGCTCAACCAAATTTTGGGTACATCTTCCTCCTGCCTGATTCAATATGCTCTCAGTGCTAACCTGTAGATAAACAATGAACCCTGAGCTTATCTGAAACATGAGTTTACTGACATACTGAAGTTCAAACTGTTCATTAATCAAAGTTCTTCTAGGCCCTAGGCATTTGCTTTCTGTGTTCGCTGCTGTCTTTTATCTCATAGAAAACAACAGGCATATTATGAGCCCTTTTGAAATATATTTTAAGTGTTTTAGTCTCTGTGTAACAGGAACTGCAAGATTAAGAAGTGCTTATTTTGTCATTAGCAACCTCACCATTTGTGAAAATTATTGTTTGTGATAGATCTTCTCAGCAACAGTCATGAATGAATCTTGCAGACATTTCAGCTACCATGATGGGCATGTTTGTTGCCTGCCCAGGACAAAAAACTGAATTATTTTAGTACCTGAGGAAGATCAAAACATTACTCACAATTAGATATGGGGACGGATATAAAAATAAATCAGAATATTCATTAAATATCCCTAATTTGTCAGATATTTGTTGCTTCATCTTCTTGGTGTCCAAAGACTCAAACGAATATGAAGCAACAAATATAGCCCTTTTATATTTGTCCCTTCGTTCCTCAGAGGCATAAGCAGAGAGGGTTTTTTCCTTTGGACGGCTTGCTAAAGTGTGCCCGAAGGGAATCCCACCCCCAGGGCTGGGGGATGGCTTGATTCCCCTTTCCTCCTCTTCCTATGCCCACGCAGCATAAGAAGGGATCAAAGAGGGATCAAAGGGATCCCCTAGCTCATGGCTGTGAGATGGCATTAATCCCTGCTTTCCCTCCTCTTGCTATGCCCCACAGGCCACAGCAAGAGGATGGAAAGCAAAACAAAAAACAAAAACAAAACCAATGAATGACAATTTGATTTGTTGTTTGTCAGGTCACTGGGGGGGGGCAATTGGGTTGCGCTTCGTCCCCATCTCTAATCACAATGCACAGTCTCCCTACAATAAAAAGAGTCTTGTCTTTCAGTCTCGTACTATCAACCTTTCATTTGCTGTTGCTTGGTAAATGCAACTCTGTGGGGATAATGCAGGTCTCCCATTGTTCCCCACATTGTCATAAGATAGCAAAGAGAACCGATGTCTATTCTCAGCAGCTTTTGTTTTTAACTATGGACTGACAGGGAGGTTGATGGTAGGGTTCATTTCAGATATTGTTTGTGCTGACCTCTCATAAACCTCTGTAGCCATCCACCCATTTGAGGATGGATAAAAGGCAGTGCTTCTTATCACTGTGCCTAGTTAGTTAAAGTGTGGAACTCATTGCCACAGGGTTTGCTGATCGCTTCTAATTTGGATGGCTTTATTGGATGAGATAAATATAATGGAAGTTAGAACCACCCAGTAGCTACTAACCAAGATAATTTTGTATTGTCTCCAGCATGAGAGGCACCTGCTGGTGGGGAACATGAGATGGAAGGCATTTGCACTCATCTCCTTCTAGTGGTCTTTCTATAGGCAACTGTATGACTGCTTTGTGAAAATAATGTTGGACGAGATAATTTTTTACTGATGTAGCATATAAATCTGCATTAAAATCTCTCAGAAACTGCACAGGAACAAACTGCACTTACCCACTAATAATATGGGTGATATGAGTCAAAGCATGCTTTTTAGCAAACTATGCAGCACATTCGCTATGCATGCAGCGCCTGTTGAGTTGCTTTGCAGTGTGATAGACAGAAAGTGCAGGATTGGCCCAAGCCACACACTCTTCAGTGTTCTGGTTATTCAAGTGTTTATTCACTTCTACAGCTCTTCTACTTTGCAATTCATCCTATGGGCATAGGGGCTCTTCAGTGCATGACTTACTTGATTGTGCTACCCATGAACAGCTACTTAAGTGATCCTAGTAGTAACTCTGGGCTTCGTTTGGAGGTAAATGAAGTTATCAGGGCAATGTGGATAAAGCTGTGCTGATGCAGGCCACCTGATTACATTGGGAAACAATAAAATCAGAGAATTAATGTCTGACAAATAAAAGGCCGGGAATTTTAATCTATTCATTTTAACAGAAAAAAACAAGAATATTATTTGAAAAGTTCTGCTTGCAGGCTTTCTTTCTTCAACAGGGAACAGCAAGTAGTTGCAGTAAGACATATGTAGTGTTCTATATCTGTTGATTTTCAACCACGGTTTATCGCTATACTGTAATGAAAATATTTTTTTAATTTACTGTAGAATAAATGCATATATTTTGTATTTTTTTTTAGTGTTATAATTTATTGTTGTTTTACTCAGTTTTATAATAACTTGATGGGATGCCTTGGATCCCTTATTTGGAAGAAAGGTGGGACAAAAATGAGAACAAGCAAATAATAATATTCTTTGTTGTAGTCTCCATATATGCACACAGTGGGTTCTGTATTTGCACGAACACAAACTTGGAAAGTTCCAGATCTTTCTGCATAGGTATTTTTTTCTTCCTAGCCTCTAATACTCACGGGCAGCCCACTCTCCTCAATCCTGTTTCATCTGCTGCAGCAACAACACTTTCAGACTGCTTTAGAGCTTCTATTTATCTAAACCTGTAAAAATTTACCTACCTTCTTTGTTTTTTCCTCCCTTCTTGCCTCTTGTCCTATCAATGATGATGATGATAATCATAATAAAATCATTATTATTTCAGAAATAATATCATCAGAGCTACAAAACCCAGCAATACAGTATTTGGAACTGCATATATACTACATTGATATTTAACAGATACTTAGGTTATTGGTTAAAACTTATATCTGTTTATATAATACCCGCCAATGTTTTT